AACAGCATTTATCTGAAATAGAAATGTCTGTATCATCACTTTTGATCAATTTAAAGCATCCTTGCTAAATAAAATTATTATAAAAGTATTAATTTCTATAATTACTTTTTTTTTGAATGGTATAGTGTATAATTTTTTATTTCAGATAAATGCTGATTTTTGGATATTTCTATCCATCAAAGAATCCTGAAAAAAGCTGTTTTAAATATTGATAATAATAATAATAATAATAAATGTTTCTTGAGCAGCAAATCAGCAATATGTAAGTAATGATGCTGAAAATACAGCTTTGATCACAGAAATAAATTACAGTTGAACAGATATTCACGTAGAAAACACTATTATTATTATACATTATTATACAGTTAATATAAATAGTAAAAATATTTCACAATATTACTGCTTTTGCTGTATTTTGGATCAAATAAATGCAGGCTTGGTGAGCAAGTAAAAAAACATTAAAAATATTACTGTTTAAAAACTTTTGACTGGTAGTGTACAACCTCTAATATTTAAAATAAATGAAATAAAAAATATAAAATTAGAATTTTAGAACATTTTTAATAATTTTGCATTCATGAAAAGATGATCTTTTGACATTAATTCTTTTTTGAAATTAATTTTATAATGTCAACACATCACAAATGGCCTTAAAACAATCCACGGCTATTTTTTGTACCACCTTGCAACATGACGTCACTTTCAGCCAATCAGAGCCGAGCTCTGTTGCGTTCGGACACAAATGACATCAGCAGGGAGTTACACACACAAACGCTCATCCCGAACCGTGACGCAGCTTTCAGACTCACATCACATCATAAACACACACACAGAGTGCTGTTCTACAGTCGTGGCCATTCACATTGTTTCTACAAGCATTAGCAGTGACATAATCTAGAAACAATGTGAATGAACACCACAACAGCTTAAGCAGCAAACTTTGCAAAACACTAAATTTATATCACTGCCAATACTTCTGGCCACGACTGTATATGTGGATGTGTGCATGCAGCAGTGCCTGGCTTTGAGTGTGAATGTGGGTCTGATGCTGATGAATGAACAGGGTTTACAGCATCTCTAATACCATCCGATCCTTCCAGGGCACTTGTGTGTTAAGCCTGTTTGTATAAAGCTCATAAATACACCAGCCATGAAGTCCAGCGCTGGGCTAAACCTGACTGAGACCTACAACATGTGTCCAACGAAGCCTTCAGACACTGATGCATTGAGCCGTGATGCTCATATATATTAATAGTGTATAATAGTGTTCTTAAAGCCACCTCGGTATTTTAATAATTAAGTATATTTATAGTCCATTGCTAATCGACATATCCTTTATTACAGTATAGAAAATATTTCTGCGTCATTCTGTGATAAGAAGCCACATCAGATCAGGAAGTGCGTACAGGTTTGCATTCCCTGGGAATTGAACCCATGACCTTGGTGTCGCAAGCCAAGCTATACTGTTTGAGCTACAGACATGATGTGATGTCATTATGACAAGTGACCAGAAAAAAAATTACGATTTGTTTCTGAATGTTTCAAAAGATCTGAAATCCCACACAACACACAGATCATTCATTCAGGATGATGAGAGCCAAGAGTGACAAACTCAGTGCAAATATACTGAGAAAATAAGATGAAAATGAAGATGGAAAGACTCTTTTCTGCTGCTGGTTTTGAAGACACAAATGAAGATGAATAAATGACAGCAAACAACTCATTAGATGAGAATATCGTGCTCTCTTTCTCATTTCTGCAGGGAACTAAAGAAGATTTGTGTCATCCATTAGAAGAAACTAGAATCAAATGCTGATATGATAGCGATTACAACCATTCCAGAATTCCAGCTAACAAAAATATGTTCTAAGGACATTTTGCTAACGTTCCTATTAAGTTATGAAAACGTTATTTCTGAATGTTCAAAACATCTAGTTTTTAAAAATTCTTCCATTTTATTATTTTGCAAACATTACAGGAACGTTACTTTTGAATGTTCTATGAACATTCTGAAACACGTAGTAGCTTTTAAAAAACGTTTGATGAACGTCCAACTGACACATTTCAGAAAGAACTTACAAATAATGTAATTTGTGCTAACGTTTTGAGAACATTATTAAAGACCAGATAACTTTGAACGAACATTCTATTAACGTTACTGGAAGAATGCTTGAAAGGAAGAAATGGTCATTTTTGGGTGAATTATCCCTGTAAGGAAGCCCTTTGTAATTCAGATGTGTTTGTTTCCGTTTTGGACAGTAAGTGCCATCCTTCAAACAACAAATAACAGGCGTGTTGAAGTTTACTGCTGAAGGTCTGGTTACAGTTGCTGTACTTTAAAGCAGAAGAACCAGAAGAAACAACCTCTGGCAGGGGAACTATTAGACTGTCAGCAGGATGAAAGCCTCTTTAAAGCATCACCGCTAAAAATACTGGAGCTGCAGGGTGTGATTTCTATTCAATCAAACACAACTGCAACAATAATGACTGTTTTTCAAACATGTTTCCAAACACTTGTCAGTCATTGGTCAGACGGTCAGAAGGTCCCGCCCCCAAACTCACATGATTGGTTGAGTACGAAGTGCCTACGTGACTCAGAACATTAAACGGACACTCCAGAGACTTTAAGCAGTTTTAAAGTTAAAAATAAGAAAAGAAACCAGGTAAATTAGTCAACCTGAATAATTAGTAGGTTGTTGAATAACAAAAACCTCTTTACCCTTTTTAAAGCATCACTGCCAAAAAATACCGAAGCTGCAGGGTGTGATTTCTATTAAATCGAACATAACTACAACAATTATGTTTCGAAACACTCGTCAGTCATTGGTCAGACGGTCAGAAGGTCCCGCCCCCAAACTCACATGATTGGTTGAGTCCGAAGCGTCTTTGTGACTGTAACCATTAAATGGCCTATAATTAATAGGTTACTGGATGACAAATGTCACATGTACATGAAGAAACGCCCTGTTATACATGCGCTGATCTTTCAAGATGTGAACCTTGATGAGACACGAGGGCTGAGCTCTGATTGGCTGACGGGCGGCTGAGCGGAACTCGTGATTGGCTGCCTCACCGTGTTGCCAGCTTGTGGCAGACGACTCCGCTGTCTGTGATGACCTCACTGAGACGCAGCTCCAGGTGAACCATTCCCTGCGGAGGAGAGAGAGAGAGAACAGCGTTACCATGGTTACACCCGCCACCCGAAGAGAGGGAGCGTGAGAGACGGAGGAGCGGCGCATGAGAAACCAATGAAAACACAAGCACTGCAGGGATCAGGCGGATCACGTGACCCAACACACACGGAAAACACGAAAAAAGAAATGTGTCAACCGGTAGAGATTCTGCTGATTCTGTTCATACTGCAGCAGAACTGATCTGACGTGTCAGATATTTAAAGCAGCTTCACATGTCTCGTCCAATCAGAATTTAGAATCCGTTTTCTAAGGTTAGTTTCACTGTTTTGGGTCTTTATATATATATATATATATATATATATATACAGTGGGTACGGAAAGTATTCAGACCCCCTTAAATTTTTCACTCTTTGTTATATTGCAGCCAAATCATTACAACACTAGTATTTTCACGAGCTAAAAAATTGTTAGTCAGTTATTTCTATTTTTTGCTGTTTCTGCTTGAGCACCTTTCTTTAGTGAAATATTCTATTCACTTGATTATCAAAAATAGGCATTAAAACATGATTATTAAATAAATATTTTTAGAAAAATATTTTTTCCCCTTAAATTTCCAGGTATTTTCATTAAAATATCCAGATGTTTCTGTAATATATAATATTTTAGTGACAGCGCACAGCTCTTCTTCTAAGAAATGAAACTTTCCTCAAGTTGAAACAACATTTCCGTTTTGAGTCTTTAGTTTTGAACACGCGTGTTTCATAATGTGAATCTGATTCATTTGATATGAATCATCCACTGAAATCCAAATAATAAAAAAAAGAAAATTATCAAATGAGACCTTTCATTAGTAAAATATTCTATTCACTGGATTACCAAAAATAGACATTAAAACAAAAATGAATAAATAAATTGTATATATATATATATATGGGTCAAAGACAAAAAAGGGATTAAGCATAAAAACAATAAGTGTAATACTGCTTTAATTTTTTAATACAAAGTTGTTTTAATTTATTCTTTAGATATATATTGTTACTGTGACATAAAATTATATTTTGGTGACAGCACGCAGCTCTTCCCCAGTGAAACTTTCCTCGAGTAGAAACAAAGTTTCTCTGTCTGACTTCAGCTGACATCATCAATATGCAAATGAGCCTTGTGAAGAGGATGGGCCGCTCTTCCTCACACACAGCACAACAATGAGCGCTCTATGGACAGAGACTCTGGGCTCTTCATTACACACACATGCTTCCTCTCTCAGCTCTGGATGAATGCGTCTGTGTTTCTGAGTATCGCTGTGAGACGACGAGACGATGCAGTGAACGTGATAACGTGTGAGTGATGACACTGCTGTGATCCTACAGGAAAGAGTTCTGATCTAAACATGCTCCTCGTGAACCCTGAGCGTCTGAGGCTCTATCAGGAGCTCAAGGTGAAACGGATTCACTCGTGTTTGTGCTCAACACACACTGTATTTGTTTTGAAATCCACCGGACCCAAACGCCAGCGCACACACACACACACACACACACACACACGCACACACGAGTGTATGATCTATATTTGTGACTCTGCAGCACAAAAGCAGTCTTAAGTCGCTGGGGTTGTTACACTGAATGACAATGTAACATTATTTCAACCAAATTGTAACATTGTATCCTGCAAAAACTTATCTGAAACCTTAAAAGTAGACACTTTAGTTACATGTAATGTGCTTTCTATGGACATAAAATCACTTTTGTTCATTTCTTTTGATGCAGACATCTTAATGTCTTCTTAAAATAGCATGATTTTCTGCTATTTATGCTACTTAATGCAAATAGTGGCAATTATCTGCACCTCAGCGTTGTAGTACATTATAAAACAGTATGCAATAATAAAGTATTATAATTTTAATTCAAATTATTAAATGGATGCCACATTTCTGAGACAATAAAGCCCTCCCTACACCTACCCGAAACTTTATTTTGAACTTTTCGATTATTTCCTTCATTTTTATTGAAAATAAATACCTTTCCGATGTGATATTTGAAAAGGGAGGGGGAAAAAATCTGCAAAAGGCAGGATTTAACTCTTAGTGTACTTAGTGTAAATAGACACTCTGATGTTTTTAACGCCGTTAAACTAGAAAAATTATTTACATGCGTTAACATCTATTCTATCCTTCTTTCTATTCTACGTGTGCTGCATTAGGCTAACTGAGACTTATCACAGCACTTGCATATCATTGCTCTTTTGTTAGTTTTGACTGCTTCTGTTGTCCTCATTTGTAAGTCGCTTTGGATAAAAGCGTCTGCTAAATGACTAAATGTAAATGTAATTGTGTGAACACATACCTGCACCTCTGAGTCTGCACACACCGGCTGCAGCGGGAACCAGTGGTCTTTACCGTGGTATTTCTGCAGGTCTTCCTTCTTCACGGCCACTTTACCTGCAGAAACAACACAGATCAACCAGAACACCCTAGAAACGAACTAAAAACCACCTAGCAACCATATAGTCTTACTCTTGCTCTTCAGTGTTAAACACTCCTCACATTCTCTTAGAAGGTTTCTAGTTGACGTTCAAACACTTTATGTGTCTTTGTTCTACATTCTTTCCCAAACATTCCATCTCCTCCTGCTTCAATATCTTGTAACACATTAAGGCCTGAAGCTGCATTTATCATAAATGAATCATAACAATCTGGTTGGTCAAGCTGCGTGATTAAACGTAGGAGCTCTACTGTGATTGGACGAAAACTAGGTGTTTCGGTTGTAAGCTGGGTTTTCATTGGCTGAATGGAAGTGGATCTGTTCAGGGCTCTACAGTGCGACCATTTCAGTCGCATTTGCTGAACACAGATATTAATGAGAGCTGCTCACCAATGCTGGAGTCCCTCCTGAACACGTCTCTGTCAAAGATGTAGAAGGACAGATGGCGGAAACTGCGCGGGATTTCACAATAAAAGTCCTCACCGTAGAACGGACTGCAGCGGACAGAGAAAACAGATATTGTGGGTATTATTATTCTTAAGTAAATTATTTTTCATTGTCAGATTGATGCATTGATGCACAGGTGTTGTTGAGTGATTTTACACCTCATTAACACCAACACACATCTTCATATGTGAATGTGTGTGTATGTGTGTGTGAGTGAGTGTGTGAATGTGTGTGTGTGTGTGTGTGAGTGAGTGTGTGAATGTGTACTGGTTTATATATCCTGGTGGGGACTTAAACCTGACTACACACAGACTCATGGGGACTCGTGTCACGGTGGGGACCTAAATTGTGGTCCCCACGGGTACAAAAGCTTATAAATCGTACAGAATGAAGTTTCTTGAAAATCTAAAATGCAGAAAATTTCCTGTGAGGGGTAGGTTTAGGGGTAGGGTTGCTGTAGATTAACGCATATTTGATATACATGGCCATAACATTGAGAGAAAATATTCTAAGATCAACATTCTTAGAATGTACTTATGATGTTTTTTTGTACTTCATTTTGTAGAATGTTCTAATAAACCTTTTTGTAACCTTTAACCAACATTATAATCATGACAAAAAAAAACTGGACATTGTAACGTTCTTAGAATATTAAAAAGCGTTCAAATAAAGTTATATTTTAGGTGAAAATATATTTAGTAGAAAGTTGTAAGAAACGTTTTTGTAACACATCATTAGCTATTTTTCCATCCTAAGTTACGAATTAAACTTATGCACAAAATCTGAATATCGAATAAAACATTTGAAAACAGTTGAAGAGAACAAAATCGTCACCTCCTGATTAACTTGCGCTAAATATCACCAAGAAAAACTAAATTTGCTGCAGTAGGAAAAGGCATTGTATATAATTTTTGTACACAATATATTAATGCAGTGTATTGAGTGTAATGTTATCTTATTTTCTGAGTCTGCTGTTTGGGAACGCAGTTCTGTGAGTTAATTATAACGAAGCACTTTGATGAGACTTTGCTCAAGCATTTTAGATGCTGTGCATGAGATCGGTCCATTGGTTGGTCTTTTTAGATGCGCATTTAGGAATTTATCCGGTAAAAGTATTTCCATCGTAGTTTATGCGCATGGTTTCTTATAGAATAAGAAATGTATCCGACTTAGTTGAGTGCATACGTTTTTTATGTGCATTTTCAGAATTTATGTGCATCTTGGCGTTTCCATCCAGCATTTTTTTTATGCGATATCCCAAAATAGGTGGATGAAAACATAGCTAATGCACACAGACAAGCAGATCTAAGCTGCTCTCCGGCTGCTCTGGGATCAGATGCAGAACAATAGAGCACAATATTCAGCACAGCAGCGCAGCACAGGGTGGGTTCAGTGCAAAAATCTGTGTGGGATCTGAAACCCAGTACACACATCAGACATGTGAGCAGAGGAATGCTGTCGGCCCGCACACACACACACACACACACACACACACACACACACACACACACACACACACACAGCCCTGCAGCAGGAAGAATGCAACACTTTGGGAGGAAGTTGGGTGTGTTGCGGTGTGTGTTTCCACAGAATGAACCGGTGTCCTGTTACACCCTCATCACCCCCATTGAGACCAATGAAGGTGTCAATCAATCTCAGTACGCGCTCGTTTGTTGCATGCATGCAATGAGTTTGCATTTCAAGTGCATGTGGAATATTGTGATCCTTCATAATGCTGGACTGCGATGAGTCACTAAGCAGATGAGAAGCACATCTGATGCTGCAGACAGACGCCGGCGAGGTGCTGTTGACGTGGTAAGCCGATCCATGCGTGACATTCTGGATCTAGAAGCATCTCTGTTTCCTGTCCACTCAATCCCAGAGCACATAATCGCACAGATCTTGATTGGATTACAGCTCGCAGGTCACTCTGGAGACCACGGCATTGTGGGATTACTGGAGCTGTGCGTGTGTGTGCTTAACCATCACTAGTACTAGTGCCCACACTGATCAAACCTCAGGGCCTTATGATCTATGGCCTTAAAAATCGAGTTTGCAGGATGTCACGGAATTCGGCAAATTTGGAAAAAATCGAAAGTAGGGCTGTACACTTAATCAAATATGAATATTAAAGCACAAAAAGACTGTGTGAGTTGTGCAGTTTAAAAAAGCAATTGTTGAATTTTCATTTGATTACATTTTAAAAGATTTAATTAAATCATGAAGCGATTCTTAATTCCATTTTAATTTACATTATCCATAATTAGAAATGTGTTTCAATTCCATTTCAATTAATTCGACTTTTTGATTACTAAAATGTAATTTAATCATTAAAATGGTGTCCGGAAAAAAAAAAAAACACGGAATCTAGAAAATAAAAACAGGAAAAATGTAATCCAGAAAAATAAAGGAAAAAATGCCACAGAATTAGGGCTGCACGATATTGGAAAAAACTCACATTGTGATATTTTGTTTTTCTGCGATATATATTGCGATATGAAAAAACTAAATCACCAGATGACTTGAATAGCTCTATTTGGAAAAAAAATAATCATTGATTGGGATGATTTTGTAGGTGAGTAAATCAGCATAGAAAATAAATTACAAGCATAAATATAATAGAACAAAGATAGCCTACAAATGAAATGAACAGTGCTTTACATTTTTCAGGTAAGTCTAACAGTATTCAGGTACAGAAATGGAATAATCAGATGTAAAATAACACTGCAAAGTCTTCACTGTATAAATTAAATCTAATAAATATGTGTTAAAGCTACAAAATTTTCTCACACATCCATTTTCTTTCTCAATTGTTTACCTTCACCTAAGCCATCAGCAACTGTGTGTACAAGGATACTTGCAGAGACATGCATTCTGACAATTTCGCGCATATGTGTCATTTATAGACGCGGAAGTGAACGGAATTCAGAGTTCACATGCATTTGCGTGGCTCTACACTGGATGCAAGCGGCGCGGTGCGACAAATCCCCGACAGTAAACTGATGGCGTGTTCTATTTATGACGTACTGACACACAGTTCAAATGATGGTCGCTTTGTCGCATCCTAGACAGACTTTATTGCGGCGCGGGGCGGTGCGACATGATAGATTTCGTGTCCAGTGACATGGTGTCTGTGTGTGAGCAAAGAAAACGATCAGTATAAATATAACGGTCAGTATACTAAACATCGCACATCCTGCGATGTGACTATCGCGGATGCGCACATCGTGA